TATATATATATATATATATATATATAGTGTAATTGGATGGGCATATTGCATATTCAGGCAATTTTGTTCCTCTTGAAGCCAATTATTTTGAATTTTATTTTATTGTTTTAATTTGATATTGAAGGCCATCAAAATGCGCAAATATAATATCTTTATCTTCAGGATGTTGTGTACCTAACTATCTAAATTAATATTTATGTTTAAAAAAGTCTTATTGAATGTAAAATGTTTTGTTATATATATTGTAAGTTGATGTTTGATGCATTTTTTTGGTATAATGATTTTGTTATATATATTGTAAGCTGATGTATTATGCATCTTTTCAGTATAATGATGAATGTAAGTAAATGTAACACTAATTGGGGATAATGTGGAACTTTAAGAAATACGATGACATAGCAAATCAATTTATCTTTATTAAGAAAAAAAGGTGTATATTAATACATTAGCTTACACATCTTTAAACAATTTACAATTATAAGTCAATAAAGGTGTGATTCTTTTTAATTAATGATGAAAAGGTGCATGTTGTGCGGTTGTTGAAATTGTCCGTTTGGGGCAGCTTATAAGTGCGAACGGAGTTTTTAAAACGCCGCTCTACCGTTTGATTCGTGCGTTTTGTCAGTTTATCTGAAACCACGTTTGAGTTTTTACACTAAATGCATGCCGCGGGCCGAACCATGCGGTCTGCTCACAGGCTGCGTTTCAGGATAAACAGCTTATGTTGAAACGTACAACCTACCCCAAACGCACTCTAAATTGTTCGTTCAATTGCTAATTATTGAATTAAATATATTATAACAATTTTTTTTCAAATTCAGAAAGAATAATAAAAAAAATATAAAATTGGCATAAAGGAGGTTATGGATCAAATACGTGAGCATGACTATTCAAAGAATATGCAACTCTTATTTACATGCATGGAATTGTAAAGGACACAAGAAATAGGGGCTGTGGCATTTTCCTTTTTTTTATTTGTTTTTCTGATCTATTTAAAATAAAAATGAGGGTGCTTTAGTTTTTGATTAGCAGAATTCAAACTGACATTCAAAACCTCATTAGGGGTAAGATTAGTACTAATATTTTTGGAAAAGAATATTTAAACTTATCATTATTGACATTGAGGTCCATCTTGGCCTACTTTTAATGAAGAGCATAATTAAATCCACTAATCATATCATTATTAGCAATTTCAAAAAGGAAAGTCATTAACAAATTTAAGTGGTTAAAACTCTTACCATGTAAGACTCCCCTAACACAACATTTCATACTATTTGAAGATGCACATAATAGCTTAAATAACTTAGTCTCCATTATTACTATAAATATATTTGAAAATTTTTGTAGTTCTATCATCAATACCTGAGGATTTATCATTCCCTTACCGGAAAAAAAAAAACTTTCATTTTCCTACCAAAAGAGGGGGTTAACAAATGCAGTGAAAGTGGGATTCACTCAAATTAAACTATAAGAGATATTTAGAGTTCATTGGAGAAATAATTTTGAGTTTTTTTTTAATATTCAATCAAACACTTTAAAATTTAAAACTTATACATTTCAAATGTTGTTTCTCCATAATACACTCAACCTAACATCCAATGAGGAAAAGGAAATTTCATAATATTTTAGTTCAAAAAAGTTTTATGTTAAGAAATTATAATATATTTTATTTCAAGATTAAACTATTTTTATAGCACATATTCTAATTTCATATATCATATATTATGTCTCAATATTGTTAAACTATTAGACCGTCTAGATAAAAAATTTGTGACTCAGTCTCTCACAAAATGAATGAGAACTAATTTTTTGTTGAGTTTGTGGTCAATTTTTAGTACGGGGTTGAAATTGTAGATAAGATACTATCATATATTTTGTCTTCATTTTGTAAGAATTTTTAAGATAAAGGGAGAAAACTTTCAATCATAGCTAGTCATTAGGGTGTTGACTGTTTAACATATAGTAGCAAGAAACTTAAGATTTTAGAAATATATAAATTTATCCCCATGAGCTTAGAGTGGCTGGTGGGGGAATGATGACAAATGCAATCAAGATCCATGATTTCATCTTTCTGGGTTGTCATGGACCTTAGGCAACTTAGTCAAGGGAGATGACATGTCGACCTTAGCTTATAGTGACTCAAGATCTATAAGTTTCCATTGGGCAAAATTTCAAATGGTTGCTAACATATATGTTTCCTAATAATTTCTTGCTGCAACATGATAAAAAGATCTTCGTTAGAAGCCATGTGAAATTTCGCCCAATGGAAACTTATAGATCTTGGGTGGATATTTATCCGAGGGAAAAAAAACATGTCGACCTTAGCTTATAGTGAACTTTTTGTCTTATTAAGTATAATTTATGATTCACAACTGGAAGGAGCAATAAATTATTAGGAAAGATATATGTTACAGCTATGCCTAGAATGTAATAGGGATGTCTAGCCAAACTATTTAGTTAGAGGGCTATGTTCATAATCATTTTGGTCAAACCATATGGATAAATGACACGAGCCATATATTTACTAGTATGAGATTATATTAAGTGCAAATATAATAGTATATTTACTACAATATTAACTCTTTTATCTTAAATTTATCACAGAATGAATGAAGTGATCAGTCTTTTCAATTGGCTAAACTGTTTAAGTCACTCGCTAGTTGCCACTATAATCGAGATCTCTCAGGCTTTATAGCTACTTGATTATTGTGATGGTTGTTTCACTCAATGAAAATTTTCTAGTTGGTTCTTCGTATGAGATCACAACATGAGGCATGGGTCACGCGAGATGATCGGGGCCTCCTCAATTGGCCATACTGCTTAAGTCACCAGTCGATTGCCATTTTAATTGGGATACCTCATACTTTATAATCACTTGATTGAAGTGATAGGTGCCTTTTTTTTGAATGGAATCAGTTTGACTCACAATCAGGGTTCAGGGTTCCGTTCAAGGGAAGCACAATAGGAGACATGGGTCACACGAGATGAGTGAGCATCTTCCTCGAGCATCTTCCTCTAACATATTAATGTGATCAGAAAGAGGCCACTCTCACTCTATCATTTTGAAAGATAGGTCAGATAGATCGATTTACAGTTGCAAATGTGATTAGGCATAACCCCTCAGCTGCCATGCCCAATAAAATATGGCTTGGTTGAATTTCTTGGTGGCTAGTTAATTTCGACCGGCTGGCCACCCCCTAAGCCATGTCCGTTAAATATGATATTTATGTGATCATATATACAAACTAATAAGCTTGATCGAGAGCCATCCACTACATAGTTTCATGTCCTCACACATTGGTGCGCAAGCAAACATCAGTGGGCATCCGATCACTATCGGCGTGTCAATGTAAGTAAAAAAAATTATTTTCTATTTTTTGGGGCTATTAATATGCTAATTAATGTTTAAAAAGTCAATTAATATTTGAATTTTTTATGCAGGAGTACGGGTAGCTTTGGGAGAGAGAGAGGGAGATGACTAGCTAGACCTCCCCGTCCGCAGTAGCAGTGTTAGCCAGTTTACCACTGCTCAGTTTGATTTTGAGTTGTAGACGCATGTGACAGGGAAGAAGAAGAGGAGAGTGTACATCCTAAGAGCAAAGGGGATAACATTTGAGGCCGAGCACTCTCGTGCAGTTGTGGGTGGCCCTAGCTCGTCATAAGCTCATCATGAGGAACTTGCTAGGTGGGTAACGTTGATGAATGAAGAGCTCCGAAAGATGCATGAAGGTCAGCAGATGGTTGCAGATAATGTAGCACACTTGAAGGAGAGATTTGATCCCGGGGGCAAGCAACATATGAGTATTATTGAGGAAGATGAGTAGGAGGAGAAAAATGAGGTTGAAGAGCAATATTAAAATTTTTATTATGTGTTTGTTGACATTCCACCGCTTTAGAGGATGATTATATATATATTTTTTTATTTATGTTCAATCAAACTTTCAATTTCTTTAGTTGTGAACTTTGAACACTCTGATCCGTTTATCTATAATATAATTTGATATCATTATTTAGATATATTGGAGATATTATTAATTCTCATGATAGATAAATGTCTGGTTATATTGCTTATGTTTGTTCTATACAGGTATGTGGAAATCTAATCGTTCAACTACATTTTTTTATTTCTTAATGGTTGGCGTCCTACTATTCCGACACAACTGCAACAATAATTAGTTCAATATTCGGCGCCGCTAATCTGACACATTAGCGTTGAGCCATGGCGACGCTAATTAGCACTGGTTTAGGGACGACCCTAAACCCTAAACCCTAAACCCTAATTAGCGTCGGCTAGGGACACTCTAATATTTAGTTAATTTGGCGTTGTTTGTTTTTTCGATGAAAACTTATAGCCACATAAATTTGAGACGCAAATAAAATCTGAAGCAAATGCCGAAGCAAAATCAATTAGCGACGCCCATTTTAGCGTCAAAATTATTTAGTCGATAATTGGACTTGGCATCCGAAAAATGCTAGAAATGTCTGATGCTAATCGATCATTTTTCTCCTGTAATGATTACCTTTGTTTTTTTGTTTTTTTTTGTTGTGTTTTTTTTTTGTTGCGATTGTGTCAACGTTGATGATGTGGTGAGCTTGGAGAACCTACACGAATATGAACAAGATTTTGTTTCTCACTAATTTATTGCTCTCTGTTTGTTTGCAGAGAGAAATAAGAGGGATAAAGAGGGAGGGGTTGGGGGGTTGAAGGTAGAGAGAGAAAAGGAGAAGCATAGAAGGGAGCTAATCTAAAGAGATAAAGAAGAGGAGGAAAGTAGTTGTTTGCAGA